GTTTGTTTGTTTGTTTGTTTGTTTGTTTGTTTGTTTGTTTGTTTGTTGTTTTGTTTGTTTGTTGTTTGTTGTTTGTTGTTTGCTGTTTGTTGTTTGTTGCTTGTTGTTTGCTGTTTGCTGTTTGTTGTTGTTGATGTTGTTGTTGTTGTTTGTTTGTTTGTTTGTTTGTTTGTCGTTGCTTGTTTGTTGTTGTTTGTTGTTTGTTGTTTGCTGTTTGCTGTTTGTTGTTTGTTGTTGTTGTTGTTGTTGTTTGTTGTTTGTTGTTTGTTGTTTGTTGTTTGTTGTTTGTTGTTGTTTGTTGTTTGTTGTTTGTTGTTTGTTGTTTGTAGTTTCTAGTTTGTTGTTTGTTGTTTGTAGTTTGCTGCTTGTTGGTTGTTGTTTGTTGTTTGCTGCTTGTTGGTTGTTGTTTGCTGTGTGTTGTCTGTTGTTTGTTGTTTGTTGTTTGTTATTTGTTGTTTGCTGTTTGCTGTTTGCTGTTTGTTGTTTGTTGTTTGTTGTTTGCTGTTTGTTGTTTGTTGTTGTTGTTGTTGTTATGTTTTTCTTCAACGCGTCCATGTGGCCTTCCTCATGGCCATTGCCGGCTGGCCAGCAGTGTAAGGACTGCAGCAGCGAGGAGCATCGGGTTTGTGGACCTGAGATGCAGATCCGTGAGTGGCCAGAGCCCCGATATACTTCGGACCTCGGGTGGACTGAGCAGGACGCTCCGATGTCGAGGATGTCGGATGGCGATGTGTGCGGGCAGGATGTCGTTGTTGTTTTGGGGGGATCAATGACAAGTTAGGGGGGTTCACAAGATGGTGAACTGAATGAATCAAATAAAGCGACAATTAGTGCCCAAATGCATGAAGCTCTTCAACTGAATGAATTTGTTTGACGATGTTAAGGAGTTTGACAGGGCTTTCAACCGTTCAACACGTTGTCCACATGTTTAAAGCGCACAATTTGTCTACTTCTCTCTATCAACGTGGAGTCACCGGTCACCAAAGGAGGTACACCGGCAACTCCTTTTGGAGGAAGCGCTCCATAAACCTGCAGCACGAGGGGGGGGGGACTCACGAGAGTGGATGCGACAGGGGACACAAACCATCCACCCGGACATGGATTTCCCGTTCTGTGCACCGGGCTGCATGTATAGCTCGCAACGAAAAGGATTTCGCATAGCTCCAAGTTGGCCTTAAACTGAGGTCCTTGGCCAAGTAGGTGATGGATTCCCTGATATGTTTGAACAAATCATCCGAAGTCTCGGTGCGGCATCCACCTAAACATATATACCTATAGAGCCCTTTGACATAGAAATCTTTGATACGAAAAATAAGTAGTACGAATGCACAAAAACTAGCACGTGTTCCCCAAAAACAGTCGAGCCCAAAAAACTAGTACGAACAGGGGTGAGGTTGGCAGCACAGACAGCGACAACGGATGCACCTCGACGTCATCTTTTTCCACTGCGTCCGGGCCTAAGGTCCCTAGGGTGGCGGGTGGAGGTAAGAAGCGTGAAATTCACTGGCCCACTCTCTTCGATAAAGGCCAAGGGATCGCAGAATTGTATTCAAAGGAGCAGTCAAAACACTTGTCCTTCTACTGATACGCGATACTCTTCCTATGAAATCCTCATCGGTCCACGTCGCGTGGACCGCCGGATTCTCGATGAATTGGCAATCACGATTGCTCTCCAACATGTGTTGGACGTCGAGCCTTGGGCTAGTCGATTTGATGGCATTGGCTTGATTCAGGAAGCTCTGACATATCAGGAGCACACTTTTGAGTCTTGAGTGTTGCTGTTTGCTATGTTCGAGCTTGTTGGCTGCCAAGTAACACCAAATGGCAAAACATGTGCAGTTTAGGGCGGAGATTAAAGCCTCGCCATCCTTGTCTGGAACATAGGCTGGCCAAAGTCGCGTAGCCATCCTTGGGGGGGCTAACTGAGCAAAGAAGTGTGAGGAGCCAGGAGCCCGGGTCGGGTCCAAACAAAACCATGCACAACCTATAGATCTGTTTTGGTGGCGATGTCAAGTCTATAGAAACCGGTGGCTGTTCAACCTTAAGTAAGAAAACATCATGCATGTGGGGCTAAGCCACTGTGAAAGCCCAGCCATCCAAGACTATGTTTTCCGCATCACGCCTGCTAAGCCATAGCCCGTTCCCGTAAGCACATCTCCAAAATCGGTTCACCGCCGCACAACTCCACTGCAGCACCTCCACTTGATCTTTGTATTGGTCTTCCTGGGCATGCGGAAGCATCCTGATTGAGAAAACTCTACTACAGCGTGCCCAGGTCAACAACCCCAAAACACCAAAAGTCACACTAGCTTCAATCCTTGTGTCTACCAAGGCCAAATCGATTTGAAGAAGCTCTTCATCCAACCAAGCGCCAACAACTGCAGCGTCTTGGCCTTTACCAAGGCCCTGTGGTGAGTGGCGTAGCCTTTGTACCCGGGAAAATGGGAAGCATTGAAGCTATGACTGCAAGACCCCGGGATAGATTTTGAGTTGGCCAAAACCGAAAAGTGCTAAATTGTCAACAGCAAACGAGCCAACAGGCAACTTGAAGGTCTTGTAGCTGAACTCATAGATGCTTGTGCGTTTCCCCCGGGCATTACAATATGCCATGAAGCGTGAGTAAGCATTCTGAAATTTGCAGTCCGTGTTCCCGTTGCCA